GGCCCTTAGCAGGGTCTGTCCAGCATCCCTTTTTTGGGTGGTTATCAGCTGAGTCTACTGACATCTGATCTTCTCAGATGGTGCAACAGGTGTCGCCCAGTGTGTCGCCGACGCACAACGGAGGGTGAAGGATGTTGCAGCGGTGAAGGACACGTGACCAGCACATGACCAGCTGGTTTGTGAGGAAAGATTTGATTTTAGAGTTTTTTTGTTTAAGTGTGCTGAAGGCGATTATTTCAGTGCACAAGTGCACAATCACATCGTCTTAGTTTTCACGGCACCTTAACCCTTTGCTGCAGGTTCTTTGCTGTTTGTCTACCGTGTGACAATGTTGCACCTTTTCGAACTAGTACGAATGTGTATATACTGATGATATATCATAGAATAGACAAGAAATGCTGAGTACAGTCTCCCCAAAAGAATTGACATGAGATGACATTTTCACACCTCTTCGCTACCACCCTAGCTGCCAAACCGCCCAAACCTGGAGCTAACCTGGAAGCCTGGTAGAAAAGCTTTTCTTTTTCCAATCAAGAGCCGCTCTCGACGGATCAGTGCAGCTGGTCTTCTGCAGCGCTGGTCTTGCCTGAGGAAGGGCTACATCTCCTTCAGCGCATTGCCTGAGTGACGGCGTCGACGCCGAACACCGTGGGGCCGTGGGTTTTGAAGGGGACAAAGAAAGAGCCAGGTCAGACCGTCAGGCGTCAAAAACTATCAAACACTGCCATTTGGTCGGACCTGCAGTTCAGACTGACCATTTGCTGATGCTCAATGTTGTTGAGGGCGACCTCAAATTGGGTGACCAGGTTTGGAAGTAGTGGACGGGCCAGGTTTCGATGGACGGACCCTAGGTAGTGGGCTTGCTTCGGTTCATTCGGGCCCAACGTGTGTTCGAGCAGATCGCAGACAGGTCCAATCAGGTCTGTCCGCATCGCATGAGTTGTTCGTTTCTATTTGATGGGGATTTGGCGTTTTAGCGCTTCGACACATTTCAACTTGTTCAACATGTTGAGAGAGTGAGAGGGGGAGAGGGAGAGAACACCAAACTCTGCCACTGAGAATTCTCTCGCAACCCATCCAGACTCCAGGAATGTCCCCTGCACACCCTGCCAGCGCGATGTTTTCCATGGGTGAGTGGACTCTCCCTGAGACTTCTTCCGGAGTCGTGCATGTGCTGCGTGTGCCGCGTGTGTCGTGACGCAAAACCGCAGGGACGGGCATTTTGGTTTGTCACACAGAAATAGGGCTTCTTACCCTGGATGGATTTGGATTCGGATTCATCCGGTTCCCACTCAAGACAAACAGTGTTTCCTTCATGCACCGTGTAGATCCGTGTAGCTAGCGGAGAAGTTGAGTGGAAACATGCAAACGGTCAGACGATGTTTACATCGTTTTACCTCCTCTTGACGTTTTGGGGCATCCGGTTGGGGGACGAACGAGGTCATAAGAGGTCCCTCGACCTTTTGACAAGATTGGAGTTTCTTCATTTGCCGAGCTGAGACATTTAGAAGGCATGTTTGGAGGGCTATCCAATCACTTCTAGGTTGAAGTTGGCAGACGCAGCAGCTTCTTCTTACGGCTTTTGTGATTGATTCCGCAGAAGAACAACACCCGAGACGCGCCATGCGACGACGCGCCATGCGAGACGCACGACTTTGGGCGTCGATGCACCAGGGATGCGAGAGTCGAAGGCGTGGATTTTTTCTGGCATCGTGCCAGAACTGATCGGGCGTCTCCTTCAGTGGATCGCTCTTCACCAATTCATGGTCCTTCAACTACCTACTGTATAGGGCCGTGACCACCATGAACCGATGGTTCATCAGCCAGGAAGATCACAGGTACTCAGATAAGATTGCTGAAACTGATTCACTTGAAATGGGGAATCACTCAAAACGGAGACATGTCTACACAATTGCCAAGCAATATTGTGAAGCGTAGGGCCACCCTGGACCCAATTTGCTGCATTCATGGTCTCTTTTGAGACAATTCACTGATTCTTCGGAAGACCTGGGCAGATGCTTCCGACAAATTTTGACAGATCCTTGGAATTTGGCATTGTTTTGTCGAAGAACCGTTGGTGGGATGATCTACCGTTTGGAAAAACCGTCCTCCGAACATGGTACTCCAACGTTCCCTCACCGAGTCCGCCCCATCTCCAGCCGCCGAGTCCGAGCCGCGCCGATCTGCCAAAAAGCCACGCCGCGGAAAAGCCCGAGGAAGAAAAAAAACGCCACTGACCAATCGATCGGCGTGGGGCGTCGAGTCGGAGGTCCAGTCCAAAAGATTTGGAAAGTCAAAGGAGATGCTGCCAATGCTGCAGAGATCAAGATTTCAGACAGTCTTTGTAAGTTGGATCTCAAATCTAATCATATCTAATCTACTGTATCTTATATATATATTATTACTGTAATATTCAATATGATATAGCCTTATATATAAATATATATATATATAGCCTTTAAAACATGTCCCAAAAAGTCGTTGACTCCTGAAAGCTGTTGGCCATGCATCCACATCAGCACCAGCAGCGCGTTCTTGGCACCAATGGATAGTCTCAATTGAAGCACATCAGTTCTTGTGTTGACACGTGTTGACCATCTCCACCAAAAACTAAATGGCTCCACTGTCACACTGTGTTGGTGTTGCTGTTGTTGTTCTTGTGGTTGTGGTTGTTGTGGTTGTTGTGGTGCTGGTGTGGTTGTTGTGGTGCTGGTGTGGTTGTTGTTGTTGTTGTTGTTGCTGTTGCTGTTGTTGTCGTTGGTGGTAGGGACACAAACAGCCGCCCAACATAGTTGTCACATGTTGCAAGTCAGGGATTTCAGAGGGACACTGTTGGGGATAGGGTTGAAGGTTTGAAGAAATGTTAGTTAGTTCGCTAAGTAGCTGGACTTGTTGTAGTTGTGTCACTTAAGTCTTGGTTGGTCCGTTTCTTGCTTTTTGAGGTGTTGCTCTGCGGGGGGTCAAAGTACTAAGCAACCAACCCTAAGCAACCTCCAACCCTCCAACCCTCCAACCAACCCCAAGCAACCTCTTGTGTTCAGAATGTAGAAAAGGATGCAGATCACTACCACTAGCACTAGTTTCACTAGTAACTACTGCCACTTGTACTACTATCAGTAGTAATTACTACAACCACTACCCCTACTGGTAAAAGTACTTGTTGGCTAGAGACAAAGGAAGATATCTTGTAACAGGGTAGTTTTTTTGTACCTTGTTGTTGTTGTCGTCATGTTTAGTCTATGGTATTTGAAGTAAACAATATATCGTGGTCTAATGCAAGTTGCACCCGCCTTTCAGCAGCGTATATCGATGGGAGGATGGCGACACTGGACCCGAGAGGTCGACGGCCACCGGTCGACCAGTCCACTGAGGGTCGACCGCCAGTGCCAGTAGTGGAAGGATGGTCTGAAATCCGAGACATTGTCCACTGCAGTAGGTAGACTAGACGTTCAACAAATATTGTTCAACCCATGTTTTTGTTAAGCAAAGATCCACTTTTGAGGATGTTCAAGGTACTCGGCTATGACCTGCAACTAAGTCTAAGTTATTTGCAACATTTTGGACACATGTAGACACCAGCATGACAGATTTCAGGGTTTTAGATGGTTTCATAGGACACCAACGGAACCGAAGTTGTAACCGATGTCAAAGGGGCAAGCCAAGTGTTTCGCCCCGTTCCGTTGCACAACCCATCAACAATGTGAACCAAACCGAACCATCGAGAACACGATTGGCGGCACGCGACACGACGAGAAAGCCGTGGATTGGAAGAGCAAAAAGGTGCAGATCGGCTGATGAGACACCCACTTCGAGCAACCAGAAAGGGTATTGCGTGGAGGTTGGAAGGGACACTACTTACATGATGTCTACTAAGTCTATACTACAGTAACTTGTAAACAGATTGGGAATTGTCGACTGCCAGGAGTCGTCAGGGAAATGCAATCTTAGATTCACAACCAAATTGCCGCCAGAGAGGATGTTTTCATATTCCATTTGTGCGGCCGATATGGTGGAAGAAAGTCATGAAGACAAACCCACCCCCGAAGACAGGGACAACCGAGGTCTTTACCATATTTTGGTATATTGAATCCCAATATATCCTAATATGGTGCAGGATTTCTTCCATATTAGGAGGAGTTGATCATTGTTGTCCAGCCAGTGATCCGGCTCGCGCTTCGCTTGGTCGCTTGACCTGTAGTTTTTCGGTGCATGGTGTTTCCAAGGACGATTCAGTCATCGCTCCTGGCCAGGTGTTTGGGGTTTGGACGGTCCAACCACCAGCCTTAAATAATACTTAGAAGATACTAATATGATATTAGTTGGGGCTGTGATATGAGTAGGGAGGTTTCCTGATACTAATATGAATAGGATAGACCCAAGACATTAGATGGTTTTACGGGATGTTTCCCTGACTTTTCGGCCGTTCGTTTTCCAATTAGCCTTAACATCAGGACGAACAAACCCATTGGCCTGTGTGCCATGCTGTACAACAGTTCATGGCTTGGTAACTCCACCGGTGAAACGGGAAACCACGTTGACCCAGGCTTTCTGGAGTTGGTTGATGAATTCATCATGGTTTTCTCGAAGCAGAATCAGTATTGAATCCCATTGAATCCCGGATCCAGTCGTACCGAACCTCAGGTACGGTGAGGACGGCCACGGTGATTTGCCGGTGCCAGTCGGGTCCAGTCATGCCTTTTGAGAAAGGTACGACTGGATCCGGGAATTGGATCATCCATCATCCTTTCTCCGTGGACTTTTTGCAGCCGTTTTTTCGGGGCGGGAGGGTGGCGGCGAGCAAAAAGTCGCACGGGAACCTATACTTTATGGGACAAACGAAAGAAAGACCATGTAGACACGAAGAGAACACAGACCAAAGCATGCTGATTTGCAGGTTTCAGCCACACCCATGAAAAGGACGTCGGATCTTGAACATTGGAACATATGCAATAACACACCCTAGGGCCCGACATGGCATGAAGGTCTTTTCATTCTTTTTTCCAGGAATCAATTCTTCGCGACCTGGTCGCGCTGGTCAGCCCTGGTCGCCCCCGGTCGCGCTCTCTCCATCCATGTCGCATCCCCTGGGAGAGGTCGCGTGGCTCGGCGGAGTGCCGGGTGCCTTCAAAGCCGATGGCAGACTGGAGAGCCATACGAACCGAGAGAACGGATCCACTAAAGGGAGACCGGAGAGTATCAGGCCCATGCGCTGTTCACTGCATGTCCACAGCATTTCTGTGTGTTTTTGTAGCCTTGGCTGGACACAGAACAGCTCCATGAGGGAGTTGAGTCTGTGTCGCTGTTGAGACATTCTCGCAAGGAACATGGGCTTTCCTGAAACCAAGTTCTTTGTTATTGTTTACTTGGACTCTTTGGCTTCTCTAGGACTCTAAGAACATTTGTGCAAAAGCAGGTATATTGGAACATGAATGTTTGGACATTGTTATGAACCCTGGTCGTTTTCCTCTCGACTTTGCACGCTTAGACCAGGTTAGACCTTTTTCATGACATGTTGACATGTTGTGTCCGTGTTGGCTGTGCGCTGTCCGGCAACGGCATTAAAAGTAACGGACGCGCTGCTGCGACTTGGTGCGCCTCTATGTAAAACACAGTGTTCATTTGTGTAATAACAGTGCAACAACACAGAACATAAAGAAGGCCCACAGTCGGTATACCTCAAAACACACATAAAACAAGCAAACTAACATTATGGACATGACACTGGCTTGTGCAAACAGGTGGCGGGCCGAATTGCAGACCGTGCGGTAAATTTGGTAATATCTTCATGTTGTTAATGGTGGTAGGCGCCATTTTCAGTATCGCAAGCTTTCTAGAGCCCCATCAATGGCCAGTGTTCGAGATGTTTGAGCTTGACTCAGCTTGACCTTGTCCACCGCATCGGAGGATTCCTCATTTCGGCAAGAGATTGTGAGGATCTTGTTGCTGGACATGACACCATGGTTCTTCATTTAGTCCACCTGTTCACTAACAACACGGTCCAATAATCAAGAGGTCATAGTGGTCCCCACTTAGAATGATGCGAGTCCCTGACTCCTAGAAACTTGACATATACAAACCATGCATGGTGAATTAGATTTAATTAGATCCTCAAAACACTGGGGTCCCCAAGCACTGAAGCGAAACAGAGGTAGATGGAGCCCCAGGGTAGACAAAGGATCCTTCAATTCAAGTTCTGGTCGAAGTCACTGGCCTTTCACAGCTTCCAGTGGTTTCCACTCTTCCACTTCATGCGCAAATGAATGTCCAGCGCCAGTGCCACCAAGATACTGATAGTACCCCTGGATTTCCACCTGACCACCTCTTGCCAGACAGGGAACCTGCGAACATCAGGGAACATCAGGGAACCATCACATGCGTCAGCCGCGTTGGTTCCGTCTCTCCGTCACCGTCGGACGAAGGCAGATTTCGGTGACGGAGATTGCCACTTGGTGAGACGGCCTTTTCTGGCGTAACGCTGACGCTTCGGATCCCAGGAATCGGTCGATTTGGTCAGGGGAGGGTGCATGAGTCTATAGCTCTTTAAGATAAGATACTTACTGATTGATTGTTTGGATTAATTATGATGAATATAGGTTGTTCAAGTTTTTTTGCTAGATGAATGTCCGGGCCGCAAATGCTGTATTTTCACCTGTAGGTGTCCCTGCGATGCCACCCCCCCGAACAGCTTGGTGTTGGTTTAAGTTCATTTCTGCAGGAATACATATGTGAAGATATCCATGGGTACCCTCATTTTATTACACATCCAGCCAAAAAAGATCCGTGTCTCACCACCCATTTAATATATAACAATATGCATATTAGTATATATATATGCATATATATATAGATCTTGGGGTTTGGCAAGGCAAACCAAATAGTCAATGTGTCGTGATATCATGATATCCGGAGTCAGAAGATTCTGATGATTTTGATGTCTCAATAATTTTTGGAATTCCCTTGGGGGTTAGTTACCCACGTAATGGTTTCCCAGCATATCTACAGACATCCTGGAGTTTTCATTCATTTTCTATCTACCTCAAAGTGAAATCTCTAAGTGATTTTATTTAGAGGCCATCTCGGCCACCTCAGCAACCTCAAAGCGTGGTATCAAAGGCTCACTTTGAAGAAACCAGTCCTCATGGAGCGTCGCTTGAGGCGCAGAGCCAGCTGCCGCCAGAGCCACCAAGCCCCTCCCACCCAGGTACGCGCCGTACGCGGATTCATGCGGATTCAACGGGAGAGTTGATAGACCTATCCGGCCAACCTATCCACACCCTTGGTTGGATGTGGTATGACTTGGTTGGATGTGGTATGATGGTTGGATGTGGTATGATGTTCTGCATTTTCTGACATGGGTGTGTTGATATGCCCTGATATGCTTTGCTAGCCACTCATGTGTTGATGGTTTGTCAGAAAGGTTTACCATCCACCTCTTTCAGGGCCTTTGGGTGGCGTTCAAGATCAACTGAAGAACTTCCGTGTGGCTGAACACTGGGGAATCCGTGCAAAACAGGCGACGACAAGTTGTTCGGCGCCAACCCAACCCGACTTCGGTGTCCCTCGGGTGGAGAAACCAGCGGATCCCGTGTGTGTTTGTGTGAACTGTGTTCTTTCTGTTCTATCCATTCTTTCCTGTTGGGCTTGCCCGCTGTAGAAAAAACATGAGTACGTCCTGGCCAGGCCTCTTCGAATCCCCCGGATCAAAGTCTGGTCAAGATCGAAGACTCTCCTGAATTGGTGAATCTTGTGGAAAGTCACCGACCACAGCTACGAGGTTTGCACAAAAAAAGAGATTGCCGTAGTATGACTTACACAGGACAGGGCTTGTCTCAGCTTGTGTCCCACAGTCTTCAGGTACCTTTGGTCCGGAATCTGGACCAAAATCTGTCCAGATGACCCTGACACAGTCGTTTTGTTTGATTGAATCACTTGGCTGGTGTATTCAGAAGCGTTTCTAGGAACGTTTGGGGATTGCACTGCCATGCTTCAGGCAGCCAGCTCTTCAAAGCAGTGACCGCTGTCGACATGTGTTCAAGTAGGATACACTTACCGATAAAGGTGATCAATAAGGATGATAAAGGCAAACGAGACACGTATAACTGTATAACCTCATATCGCTATCACCATTCCTTCAGTCCTGACTCCAGCACTCTCTACTATGGTTTTCACTGACGTTCCACACGGTGCATCCCACGCAACTCATCCGCCACGACGTGCGGGGATTCGCCACGACGTGCGGTTCCTGCACGGCTCTTCTCCCGAAAAATGGTGGAACTGGGTCACAAACACCGAGGTCTCCTCGGCCTCAAGCATCCATCCTCGAGCTTTTTGGGGCTTGTGGACCAGTTGGTGCAAAAGCATCAAGAGGAGCTGCCGCTTGGAGGAGCATGCATGCTTCACGTCGACACTCACGCGCTCTCTTAGACCAAAGTACTGAGCGCCTGGTCTCCGAAGTGGGTCTTTGGCTTCAGCCCTTTTTCTCCTGGCTCACCGGTGGACTTCTTCACCTGTCGTTGGCCGCGTGTCGCCGATCTGACCAGGTCATCTCAGGTCGGTCGCGTGGGTTCGGCCCTCCTTCGCCACTGGGTTTCCATGAGTTAGACGATGTCCACATGCACTCATCGGTCATCGGTCGTACTTTCTGTGCCTCACATGAAATGGGTAGTGCAAACACATAGAAGATGGATGAAGACGGAGTCTATTTTTGGAGTCTATGAGGTCTCAAGGTATCAAAGCAAACAGATCCAGCCGTGGCCAAGTGTTCCCTTTCAAAGCAATTATGGGATGTTCATGGTCTTTGTGAGGTGATTTGGAGCTAATAACTCTGCTAGATTTGGATTGTAGATGATTAAGTTATAGTTATACTAGGTTCGGATTCACATACAGTACGTTTTGAGAAGGTCGTTGGAGACCCCAAACATCCCCAAAACACCGAGTTTGAAGGATACCTCTGCCGCCCATGTCGAAGCGAAACCTCCGCGAAAGTCTCGTGAGCCGGAAGGAAGGTCAATTCTGTGGTCCCGAAGCGGCTCAGGGGATCTTCCTATTGAAGTGTTTGGGACCAAAGGCTCTTTGAAAGACCATTCAGATTGAATCGTCTTGCTGTTTTTTGAGACATCACCCTCATTAATCGTTGTCGTCCGACTGATTGAGTCCTTTTCAAAGACCCACTGCCCTGAAGCAGTCTGTCGGATGATTGCCACCAAACAGCGAACCACTTGCTGCACCCCCAGGGCGAGTGCCTGCGGAAAACCCGCCAGCAGAAATAACCGAAGCACTGGAAGAAGGTCTGCAGGAAGTGTGGCTCCTTGGATGCAGGGCCAGTGCACTGCATGAACGATACGGTGAATAAATGCCAAGCACCGTAGGATACTGTCGGCATCTGCTGCATCCACGATTTCGCCTCATGGTGGAGTGAAAGATGACATGTGGCTTGATCTTCAACCCTGGGAAGATCCGCTTCCGAAGCCCTGGTTAAGGACCAAGAAACGACAACACACTTGTTTTGGTGGTTGTTTCCTTAACTGTCCAATGCCAAACTTGTTGGGTTCGTTCTCTTTGTGCTTCTTTTTTTGTTCACCTATCTGGGCGTTTAGCATGGGAGCGGGGTAGCATCAAGTCCGATACATACAATATATATATGTATAATGTTAGTCGATGTTTCTCCAGAGTGGATTCACACACAGGAAAGGCTTGCAGTTCCATTCATCAAATATATCAATACATTAAAATACATTATAGTCGTATAAATTCATATAAATTCAAGAAACGGAAGGAGTCAACCTTAATAAATCAACTGAACATAGCAGACCCTGAAACAAAGAAGAAGCGTACGCGGTAATCATTGGCAAAAAGAACATACCATATCATCAGGTGCTTGTTGGATTCATGTTCTTCTCGGTGTCATGACATGTTTTCATTTGTTATTGTTTTAAATGTTCGTTGTTATCATTTTATACATACCGTAGTCACCAAGCCTTTGACCTGACTATCAGATCGTTGGTCAGCCATGGTCCGCCCATGGTTCAAGGGTCTCGATGATTTCTCGATTCACAGGCTCAATGATTTCTTGAGCCATGGTTCCATGGTTCAAGGGTTCATGCTTCAGCCAAGGAATGTGATGTCATTGATAGTGCTCTCTGTACACAACCAACTCTTTTGCAAGTCATTTTCTTTCTCAGTCTTCTTGTGGGAGGTTGCGTGTCGTGGCGTGGGTATGCGTGTGTGTGTGTGTAACCCTTGTAGTCACAGGGATTCTTTTGAATTGTTTTGGTCAGCAGGGGGCTGGAGTGTGCTTCAGATTCTGTCGCACAGTGATATAGTTCTGGGACGCCAGAACTACGTACCTGCCATTTTCCGAGTCTTCTGAATGGCACGAGGCTAAGCCTAGAACCTCACTCGGCAGACAAGTACGGTCGCTTCGTCGTCGACTTGAGACTTTGGCCTCCTTTCCTCTTGATGACTGCCAGGTTCCTTAGGACTTTCCTGGACTTTTCAGGATTTGGGTTTCTTAGGCTGGTGTGTGGCACCGCTGTCAAGTCAGTACGCATATCCATAAGTGTGTTTGGCCTCGTGCCAACCCGGGATGAGCCTGCAGAGTGCCTCCCGTGGACCCGTCGAACGGGGGTTTGTCGATGTCCGCAGCGGACAGTAGATGGCTTATGCCTCAAGAAGTGGGATGTTTGTCTCATCTTTGGAATTCTAAGTTGGCTCATGCCTTTACGTGACCGCAGCGGTCCAAGCTGGCTTAACGCCTCAACGTGGTCAGAGCGACCGAAGCACTTTTGAGGTTCATTGGAACCTGTCGCGACCTTGGGTGCACACACAGCGTGTACATTGAAACGAGGCAGGTCACCTAGGTCGTTGCAATGAGGTTTGGTCTCATCGGTTTTCGCCCCCTCCATTTGGTTCCCCTTTCATCCCTACCCCTTCACACACTTTTGTTTCCTCTTTTCTTTCATGTCCTCCTGTCTTCATGTCTGGTCATCTCATCCTTTTCTTCGTTTGCGCGCACATTGGTCCCGACCTTAGTGTGTACGTGCACTTCTACATACATTTTCACACAGGATTCAGGTCGCCCAGGTCTTGACAATGAGGTGGGTTTCATCGGGTGTCCCTGTGCACTTGGTTCCCTTTTCATTTCCACCACACACACCTTTGTCCCGTCTCGTCCTCCTGTCATGTCTTCATTCTTTTGTCTCTTGTGCGCGCACGCGTGCACATTTGCCCTCACCTTAGCTTGACGCCTCCCCTCGGGGAGGCGTGTGTGTGTAACCCTTGTAGTCACAGGGATTCTTTTGAATTGTTTTAGTCAGCAGGGGGCTGGAGTGTGCTTCAGATGTCTCCAGCCAACGAAGACGCATCTGTCGCACAGTGATATAGTTCTGGGACGCCAGAACTACGTACCTGCCATTTTCCGAGTCTTCTGAATGGCACGAGGCTAAGCCTAGAACCTCACTCGGCAGACAAGTACGACCGTCGTCACCCTGTCGCTTCGTCGTCGACTTTGGCCTCCTTTCCTCTTGATGACTGCCAGGTTCCTTAGGACTTTCCTGGACTTTTCAGGATTTGGGTTTCTTAGGCTGGCGTGTGGCACCGCTGTCAAGTCAGTACGCATATCCATAAGTGTGTGTTTTTGCAAAAAAGAGTATGAAACACCCATATCATATAGACATCATCAAATAGATCTTGATGGAAAGGTAATGTATCTCATTTATTTTGTGGTCCCAAGGTACTACCTTGTGATCGTCAGACCTTCATGTGCCCTATCCACGTTGCTTACTTAAGAATCACAGCCCTGTTGTGTATCAACCTGACCCCTCACCAGATCTGGGACAATGTTTCCTTCGATGTTACCGCAAGGGACATCAGCTGCTCTTCAATCAAAACTTTGGTATCGGTATATAGCTGTTGTGGGCTGCCAATGATGACTTCGGAGTGTTGAGCGTTGAGGGTGTGTTTTGGCAATGCAAACATAATCCACTGTAGACCACCGGCACTAACTAGTTGTTGCTTGTCGTATGTGACACTTCATGTGCAGGTGCACACTCAGTGGCATGGACTACTTGGCCTGTGTAGTCCAACTCAACGCTGTGGTTCCCAGCTTCTCATCCATTCTCCTTACGGAACAAGACCTTGGACCACCGGGTACCCTTGTGTGGCGCAACCTTGTAGAAGTTCCAGAACATCAAAGGAAGTTGCGCTGTTGTGTGGTACCCTTGTGTTGCTCTATTTTCTGTCAGTCTAAGCCTTTCAGGTAATTTTTTGTTCAGCGAAGGGAAACCCGTTGAGCGCTGTGAATCGGCCTCATCTACACCAAGGACTCGACCTTGTCTCAGACCTGGTCAGATCGGGGCCATGTCGAGGACACACAACTGGACGTCGCACACTGGGCAAACTGGACGACTGTTGCATAAATCAGCATCAAACTGATCAACATCCCAGGGATTTCTCTCCTCGCAACGCGACCGCATACAGACCAAATGCACTCCGGAAAAAGAGAAGAATCCGAAATGACACATAATAGTTAATTATAAATTATATGATATTCAATGTGTATATTCAGATTATTTCAGATTAATAGATGGTCGAACATCATACTCCCCATGGATATTCACTTCCTGCATCTATTGGTACAAAAATGCAAAGCAATCACACATGAACGTTAATTTATATCATAGATACCCCAACCCCGCACCCCCACGATTCGCCAGAACTGTCAAAGGTGTCAAGGGTCATTCACAGCGCCTGTCGAATGACACGCGGGACGCTGGGGCGAGTAAGATGTGGAGAATTGGAGCAAATCCATGTTTGACGGGTCTTGCTACTAGTAGTAGTGGCCTCCAACCTACTAGCGATGGCCTCCAACCTACTAGGCGATAGCCTCCAACCTAGTAGCTTCTAGCTACTAGAAGCGCTAGTAGCTTCTTGCTGCTAGTAGTAATGACCTCCAACCTACTAGCGATGGCCTCCAACCTAGTAGCTTCTAGCTACTAGTAACTTCTTGCTACTAGTCGTAATGGCCTCCAACCTAACAGCGATGGCCTCCAACCTAGTAGCTTCTAGCTACTAGTAGCGCTAGTAGCTTCTTGCTGCTAGTAGTAATGACCTTCAACCTAATAGCGATGGCCTCGAACCTAGTATCTTCTAGCTACTAGTACCTTGTTGCTACTAGTAGTAATGGCCTCCAACCTAACAGCGATGGCCTCCAACCTAGTAGCTTCTAGCTACTAGTAGCGCTAGTAACTTCTTGCTACTAGTAGTAATGGCCTCCAACCTACTAGCGATGGCCTCCAACCTAGTAGCTTCTAGCTACTAGTAGCTTCTCCCTACTAGTACTAATGGTCTCCAACCTACTGGCGATGCCTCTAATTTATTAGCGGTGAGAAGAGAGCCCTCTTCTTGCTGAGTTTTGATTGTCACGCCATGCCCTGGTCGTTGGTTTCGAGGCGAAACCAACCTGGTTTTAAGGACGAAACAGTTCTGCGATTCACCGAACGCTTCCCCAAACGAGGAGACCACCTCCCCGCACTTTCCGCGCATGACCACTCCTGTGTCTCGGCTACAGCTTCCGCTGTTGGGGGCGGCTTTATATGGGGAATGAGAGAACCTTTGCATTGCACCTTTGTATTTGTTGGTTACATAGCGTTACAGTCACGTTACATATGGTTTTGTTAACATAGTACCAGTCCAGAACCCACACTAACTCGGCTAAGCAAGACTCCGCATGAAGAGGATCTGCAAGACTTCCTCTCTTCAGAGGGAGGATTTTGGTGTCTCTTTAAAGAATGTTTGATTTGGCAGCGTTTGTCATTTTTCAGAGGCGAGTTGCAACAAAATTATGTTTGTTTTTTGGGTTATGAATGAGGGCCTTAACGGGGACCAAAATATCAGTTTTGGATTGGTTTTAAAAACCACTGAAGTACACAGTGTCTGGAGGCGGTTTTATGATTTGAAGGGTCCATGAATTGGCAAACTCCCTAAAGCACGAGGCAACAACGAGCCGGCTCGAGCAAAAGGTTTTCGGGCTTCATTCATTATCTTCATTTGTCTATTAATTGATATGACAGGTACGCTTAAACTCGCAAGGATTAATTAGGACTGTAGGAAGAGGGATTGGTGAAATTCATAGTTTTCCAGGTGAAGAACAAACAACACGAATCAGGAGACAGATGGACCAAACTAATTGGGGAGGATTTCTGGGGACAAACTCATGCACATGTTGAAAAGCGGCCAGGAAGGGTTGTTTGAAAGGCCATCAGTATTGCAGAACAGACTTGGATCGAATTCTGTGTCCACATTGTGGACATGCCCCTTCAGGGGCGTGGGGTGACATGATGCCAGCCAATGAATGGGGACTACGACGGGACATCAGCAAGGATGATTACACGAACAGTGTCGAAGAAGCAAAGCAGGGGTGACAGCCGTGGGTCGTGGTACGACGGCAAAATACACATCCCGGGTCACTCCAAATTGCTCATCCACATGGCAAGAGACGGGTCTCGTAGATGACACCTGCAGCCTGTACTCATAGGAATCCCAAATGCACACTCATCAACGAAGTGGATGGCATGGCATGGGTCCTTGGATGACCATGAAATCCTCTACAAAAAGGTGGTCTTCCACTTCCATGACGATTCCAGGGAGTGTAAGTGTAGTAAAGTAAAGGGGTGGTGTTCCATACAAACCACGGAGTCTGTCGCCGTACTCTTGTCTTGCTGGGCACCTCATAGCCTCACCGCCAGAACACGCCCACGGCGGCCAATTTCCTCCTGCGCAGGGACCGCAGGGAGTCCCGGAGTTTCTCCGGACGGAGCCAAACACTTTGTTACTAGTGGCTTCTTCCTCCTAGTAGTAAGGCCAGGAGCTACTAGTAGCGTCATTGCTACTAGTAGCGATGCCTTTGGCTCCTAGCGTTCTTGCTAGGTCCAAAAGCAAATCTTTGACTTTCGAAAGGGGAGAAAGATGGATCATCCTTTTGATGAAGTATCAAATCATAATACTGATCTACTATTCAAATCTTAAAGTGTTTGTTGACATTTGGAAGAGACAGAAGCAAACAACGAGTCGATGTTGTAGATTGTAGATATATAAGAATGATTGAAGTGATTCGAGGCTTGAATATATGTTTGACCGCTTGAACGTGACAAGTTGTCAAGCTGAAAATCACGCCTCATTTCATGGCCATCGAGGACTTTGCTTCTATCACCCACAACCCACAGAACTCACTGAGGTGAAAAGAAAACTCGGCTCTCCAACGTCAATGCCAGCAGCTTGGTGAACTCCCTCATGCCGAGGTAGTTAAACACCGCGTCTCCGCCACCGGTGTTTTGGCGCTTTGCCAAGTCGATCCATTTTGAGGGTCAAAATAGTGTATTTCCGGGAATCTTGCTGGCCCTGGGTAGACTGGTCGAATTTCCGAAGCTTCCACCGGGGTCGAAAGGGATGTTTGGTAGGGAAGTCTCCCAAAGCACCTCGGGATCGACCGCAGGTGGACGGGCACCGGTGCTGTTTGGGCCGAGGGAAGGCTCAGGGCTGGAGAAATGGAAGAAGATCTTCGTATTTTCGATCGAAGAATCGAGCGATGACATGCCGTAATTCAAGTTAGATGAAGTACTGCCGTAGATGAAGTACATGTATAGGTATCCCTTTTTGAACAGTCAGCCGTTGTATATAGTGTATAATTCTCCTAGATCCAGTGATGATTATCAGGTCTTCTTGGGCTTTAATTGGGCGTTCAGCATGCAGCTAGCAACCGAGCTGAACGTCTCATGCCTCAAGGGTAGCAAGTACAAGGTCCATCAAGGTCCTAGGTTCCAACACAGAATTGACAGTTGTGTTTTTTGGTGGGTGAATGGTGTATATAAGTGCAGATGATTCACGATGCCCTCCCATCTTTCCATGCACCATTGTATATCACTCATGCTTGCAGGTCTGCGGAATCAGAATCTGCTCCACTTGAGGCACGCTAGCAGATGCCTTCGATGAGAAGACCTTGAAGACTCTGACAGATAAATCTGACAGCTTTGGAGTCGCCGCTCGGTGTGTCATTGAGTCATGACACAAAAAAAAGGCCACCCGATCTGATGATACGACCTTCATTGTGTGGATTTGGTCCTCCGCTTCCTGTGGCCAATCCATGTCCGAGACAGCAAGATTTATATAACATGAACAATTTGCATCCTGTCGCCTTTTGGAGATGAGCAGTCTATTCAAATGTGGGAGACATTTGCTGATCCTCACAAGATAAAATGCTGCGTACAGGACGTTGCTGTGCACAATCGGATCATTCTGTGGCCTTTACGTGGCTCCAAAATCAGTATGGACAGACGCGTCGGTAAATTGCCTTGAAAGACATATCGGACAACGTTTCTATTTCATTGGGGACCATTTTGTACTGTACTGGTTGCTTGCACATGAGTATGCAATGATCTTGGAAGCCACGACCAACTTTCAGGGGTGCAAACTCAGCTTTCAGCTGCTGCTGAGTTTGGGCAGCTTAGCAGGGCTCAGTTGAGCCGCCGTCCAGCAACAATCCTCCAACAGCATCCTCCAACAGGTCACCTATCAATTCAATGGGGACCTCGTAAGGCCCTTCCCAACCCTCGAACATGGGTCTCCCCAGCAAGGATGCTGGTAGGGACCTTCTCTCAATCACGATCGACTCCACCCTTTTGCCTCGAGCATGTTCTTCAACATTGGCCATCTCGATTCCAGGGCCTTTCTCCGGCCCTGCACAATGACAAGTGCCTGGGTGAAAATCGATTCACCGGGAGAATCGGTACGAAGAGGGCCTTAGGGGCCACTGTTTGTGGTTTGAGCCAATGTAGCAAGTCCAATTGGCTCTAGTTAGGCTTTGGACCGTGACGTCGCGAGATTTGAGGATCGATTTCGGACGGTTGGGCCTCGATCGAGGAATACGGTGCGGCCTGAATGCTATGGACAGTTACCCTCACCATTTTACAACAGTTTTCGCATGTGTTCATGTTTTCCTGCACTGTTGGACACGTCAGTTCTCCTTACAAGAATCATTGGATGTTGTGAAGGGCATTGTGAACAGATCTTTTTTTCAATTACTGTAAGAGACTAGAGACTAATATATTGTAAATATGTGTTCATCCCTACGCGCTGAATCCCTGCAAAGGTGTTGAACAGTGTGAAAGCCAACCATTTGCAGATCTCTATTTACATAGATCCGATCTCACCAATTAAACGTTCCACCGTTGTTTCTTGGATGTCGTGTGGAGTGTGAAGTTACGGCCACGATCGCCAAGGACGACGCTTTCCCTTTGTAAAAGGGTTCAGACTTGTTTAAAGGATAGAAATAGAAAAGATAGAATTCGGATTTGATCCGCGGGTTTTCAATCTGTGGGCTTTTGATTGATTCGAAAGATAGAGTCATCAGTCTCCACGGACTAGGAGCTCACCAGCATGATTACTGGACTGTGAACGGGATGGTGTTCAAAGAAGGAAGCTCCATCATATAGTTACTGTAACCACTGGGAGTTGGAATCTTGCCATGTTGGGGAAAGCCTATCTACGACTGCAGTGCTTTGCTTTTTCTGCTTGGCTATTTTGGCTTCCCCTTTAATGGATGACGGCTTTTTTCAACCCAGGCAAGGATGATCAGCATTGCCGGTGGTGAATTGCGGTGGACAGAGGAGCCCTTAAATACTGAACCTTTTAATTACAACAGTCGTTTACCATTTTAGACTCTCAGCTGCGAAGCGGCCATGTTTGAGCCTGGGAACCGGCTCATCATTCGGAACCCGAGTTGATGGACCAGTCCACTGGAGGCTACGTGGGCTACGGGGAACCGACCGACGGGTGCAACAAAGGGGATACCAGCCCGGTATGTCCGATGAGCACCATGGGCGCAACCGCATCATGAACTGGAACTGGAAGATGGCGCAGTCCTGCGGCCTGGGATGGCCCCCCAAAACAGGTTTCGGAACTCCAGTCCTCCACCGTGAAAAGCTAACCCGCGAGGAATGGATGCTCCTCTTCCTTTGCGGAGTGGATTCACGATAGAGATGAGCAGAAGAGTTGCTGGGAGAGATGCCAAGACTTCTTGCTACTTGGGATGTGAGAGGATGGCTGGGAGCCTAGGAGTAGGCAGGCTCAGAAGGGCTATCAAGTTTTGCATTTCGCTCGGCCGCTAAAAGAACAGCCAACCAAACGGCGCGCGGCGCTCGGTGTTCGTTGCACATGTTCACCCGACGAGACGGGCAGGATATGACCGGCACGTGACGACGGTTTTCGGGTCTCCGACGCACTGAAATTGATGAGTGGACGATGGTGGACGTTTCCGGAAAAAGAACACAGACTCCCAGATATTTCGATGTGTTTCTTGCGCATGGCATCGCATGGCCGCATGGACTCGATGTCAGCTCAATCTCGAGAAATCTCTCCTGAGAGTCTCGACCCGCCTTGTGGTCACTTTGATATCGTGAGATATCATGAGAGGGACGACTAGTCGAGAGCATACGACTCTCCTATTGCAGAGCATGATGAAGCATGAATTATGCGTGACAATGCGTGACAAACAGTTAAAGCAGGGAAACTCTTAAGAATGTTGAGTGGCTGTGGATGGTAACAAAAAGTATGTTCACCCTTGGTTTGCTGTTCTTTGTCATGTTGTTTGTTGACAAGGTTGTCCTTCTTTGGTCTCCCCTTTGGGGGCAAAAGGACACAGCGTTTAGATGTTGGACCTGCCATGGAAAAATTACAATCACTTTGGGTGCTTCCTTTGTGGACATATCAGCTGCAGACTGAGTGCTGGAGCGCTGTCTCCCGAGTGGAGTTTGGGCACAGGAGACCCAGAAGACCACGAAGCCATCCGTAGACCATAGAGCCGTAGAGTCAGCAAGGTCGCAATGTAGTGCCACCTGGGCCAATCTCCAGGCACAGGAAGTTCAGAGTAGTTGGCACAAACTCCTATACAGACCGGATATGACCGGACAATTGTTTTGCCAGTTTTCCACTGCACAGTTTCTTGTTTAGTATCGATCGCGACCATGAGTTTGGGCCCAGCTGTGATACATGTGCCATCGCTGTGCCACGTTCTCACTGGTCTCACCCACTGCGTCTCCACGTTCTCAATGCGAAGCGTCAAGGCAGTCCACGCGCTATGAGTTGATCATTGCCTTCGCCGCTGGACCGTGTGTCGTGGGTCGTGTTTCGACACGGGTCGCTGGGCGTTTGATTTCACCGGAGCGATGCGACTCTTTGGGGTTTCAGTTTGAATCGATATGGAGGAGGGGTGAATATATTGATCGTTCATATGAAGTAACTAGTCCGAGGCGGAACATTTGTTATTATTTTGCTTATATAAGTCTTTTGAGTTGTGTTGCCTTCATCGTAGTGAGAGCAACGATGAATCTGTAGAATTATTTGAGAACATTGCAGTTGCCTACTTCATTGCCTGATTCACCCTGACATGATACCCTAATACCCTAGATTACTTTGCGTAGAATGTTTTAGCACTTGGCCGGGCAAGTTGGGTCATCGTTGGGTGTGTGAAACTAGTCAACACATTATTAAACAAAAATAACACAATCCCGAGTACCTAGTAAAAACGGACCCCGATTAGAAAAAAGTCATGTCGGAACCCCCTAAATAGGGTTTATATTTTGTTTTTTAATTACAGTCCTTTCAAACCGCTACTAAACTACCAACATTGCCGAATTTGGAGTAAGTTTTTTAAATTAGGTTCCAAAAACAACCGTAACTGCCCACCTCTGTCCACCCTGTCTATCCACCATGACACACCGCGTTTACACCAGCAGGTTTTCCTTTCCCCAATGGCACGGACTCACGCAAACGCACTTGCCACCGAGGTCACGCAAAAACCGCATGGCACAGCGACATCACCTTTCGAAAGCTTTAGTTGTTAGTCTAATGAAGAATCACTAACTATTCTAATACAGTAAAGGTTTTTGTAGGGGAAGAGGAAGACCCTTCGATCTGGAGTATTTTTTACTGTAATATATTTTGATATGAGTTTAATAAAGGATTTTATTTCAAGTTTTCCTGGGTTACTTTTTGGTTTTGAAGCTCTTCCCAGGTGACCCTATTTTGGACCGCCCCGTTTTCAGGGACCCTCGATTAACACAAAGGCGACCGAGGCTTCCTTATTAGGGGGGGCCGCATGTGTTTTAATAGGTGGACAGGATGAACACACACACACACACCACAGGGGAACGGAAAAGGATAAGAAAAAGTTCCTTCACCAGTGTAACTTTGAACGTCCCCACCTTGGGCACTGTTGGAGGCCCGGCCCATCCTGCCCGATCCTGCCCTTCCCAATTGAGGTGCTGGCCGTGAATGTCTTCTGCATGGCATTGGAAATGGAGCTGAGAGGTGTCCATGTCGCAGGCAGACACAACGGACACAACGGACACAACAGACACCACGAACTCCGTTTCTGAACGCGTGCGACGAGGTTGTGCAATGAGTTCCCTAGTCTTCCAAGAATTGTTTGGTAAAGACCATCAAGGGTGAGCCAGAAATCCCAGAGAAGGAGAAGCCGACAAATTTTGACAACAGTAAATTTCAACTACAGGGAAAATCAGTCTATAGCCATGACACGATTTGGGTTTAATGGAACATAGGCATGAAAACACTCCATATTATGTGTATTTTACTTGCCAGTCCAGTGCAGTCCTATGTCATTGGATGGTTGTAGTATTTGTTGGCGTGAACTAAGATCGTACCGACGTCTTCCGAACTGAGTTGAGTGATTCCATGGCAAACGACACGTGGACAGACCTCGCAGGGAATATGAACGTGCGGAATACATCGGGTTTTGCCCTGGACACGTCGCATGGACGATCTCCCGAAAAGGCCTTGCTGAACGACGGATCCACATCATCCCCTGAAGGATTTCGGGGAATCTTGCAATTGTTCAGGTCCACAGCAGTGGGCCCAACGCATGTCTCATGTAAAGACGACTAAAGCGCCAAAGCGATATCACTTTCACAACTCTGTGGTTTTCATCTCTGTTGCTCACCACGTAATCGACCGTTTTTTTCTGCGTTCAATGTGGTTTGTGCACCAGGTGTTGATCTTGGACTGTATCCTTCAGTAGTTCAGTTCGATTCCCAACTGCGACTTGGTGGCTTCAGAGTTCCTATCGATCTCCATCAAGTCATGTCAAGCCTCAAATGCCTTCTTTTGCCTGCCGGCGTCATTTCACTTCTTTCTTACGAAGTATCCTTCCTCCAAGTTTTTTCTTCTTCTTTCGAGCTTCATCCTCGTCCTCATGCTCTCTTTTACGCAAGTTCCACCCACGTTACTATGACGGCCTTCTTTTGTTGCTTCCCGTGCTTTTTGCGAAACCTCATGGTGTTCCTGCTGGCTTGCGGGAGGTGTTGCTGATTTTTTTGGTTGCTTCTGGTTTGCTGGTTGCTGGTTTGCTGCTGCTGCTGATGATGATGATGATGATGACGATGATCTTTTCTTTCTAGTTTCCTGGTGTTGGTCGGCTGGCTTGCTGCTGGTGTGCTAGTGCTGCTGGGCTACAGGTGGTTTGCTGCTACCCGTCGTTCCTTGCCTACCATTGCCTAGCAACCTTTCGTCCATCCTCCTTCTCTCAAGTCTTCATTTGTTAGCCTGCTGGGAAGTTCTTGTAAACAAACCTACGATTTGCATATATAACATTAACAGTTAGTATAACAGTTGATCCAAGTTTAGCGAAACATAATCGAAATAGGAATCGATACTATATACATGGGCGGGTGCTGATGAAATTGGGGGTCCCCTGGGCTGGGGGGAGTGTTCTGAGACCTATTAGAACTTAAGCTCAATGAATCCGGCAGTGGTTTAATGCTCCATTCCTGTAAAGCACCACATGGGCTAAATATTACAATATTATATATACAAACAATCTGGGCGACAGTTCTTGAAACTCTGCCCAGTTTTCCATCGTTGAAACCATCCTATTTTGAGGATCCCCTATTAAAACAACAACTACTTCACTGGAATTCTTTTAGTAGGGGGAGGAGGGGGGGCGCGTGTTGTTTGATAAGTGGAACGGATTAGGTACAAATATCGCCCGAAGTGGTGCACATGTATCTCCACTGAACAGGCGGTGAACGTGCTAAGCGCTATTGAGGCAGAAGGAATCACGTGAAACAGAACATACACCTGGGCTTCATGGAAGCTACTAGGAACAAGTGCCTTACTAGTAGCAACAAGAAGCTATTAGTAACAAGTGCCTCGCTAGTAGTAACAAGTGCCTTACTAGTAGTAACAAGAAGCTATTAGTAACAAGTGCCACGCTAGTAGTAACAAGTGCCTTACTAGTAGTGACAAGAAGCTATTAGAAACAAGTGCCACGCTAGTAGTAACAAGTGCCTTACTAGTAGTAACAA